AAAATCTATGGTCCAATACAGAATAGTGATGGCTCCTGGAGAATTAGGATGAATCATGAACTAGATTGTATCATACAGGGAGCAGATATCGTGAGGCTAATCAAAAGCAAAAGGTTAGCCTGGCTTGGCCATGTTGCAAGAATGGAAGGAAACAGGGTAACTAGAAGAGTGATGGAATGGAGACCACGGAAACGATGGATAGACGACGTGGGGGAGGATGTGAGGACGATGGGAGTAAGGGGATGGAGAAGAATTGTGAATGATAGGACAGAATGGAAAAAATTCATCGAACAAGCTAAGCCCCACACAGGGTTATAACGCTATAAGAAGAAGAAGAAGAACTTTATTTATGTTACCACTTAGTTACAGTTAATTTGGATTAAAATGTAGTCAACTCCCAACCAGTTTAAAACTTGATGTGTAAATCTGAAGTCCCAGATTTCAACTCAAATTCAGCAATCTTTTCTCATAATTTACATACAAATTTCAGTTTCTAAGGGTGTAAAACATCATCTCTCATTCTAAGGGAATTGTTAACCAAGGGTGTTTTAAAATAGAGCATTGAGGAGAATAAATGTACTTAAGAGGAGGTGAAAGGAAGATTGATAAATTGTATAATAAGCGAAGACTTTAATTTCTTCTCTTCTCCAAATAATATTATGAGGTCCAAATCAAAAGAAAAGGACAGACATGACCACGTATAGGAGATAAAAAATGCATACAAAATTTGTCACAAAATATGAATGGTAGAGACCTCTTAGTATAGGTACTGATTAGAAAACGATATTAAAATGGACATTAAATAGGATGCAAGGGTGTGGACTATATTAAACTGCATCAAGAAATGGTTTAATGGTAGGTACTTGTCAGCACGGCAATGAATAAACCTTCAAATGTCATACAGGGCAGACCATTTCTCAATAACCTGAATGCCTACCAGCTTCCCAAGTAATCCTCTGCTCTAGAGTCAACGTGTAATTCATGCATTAATTCAGTTTCCTTGTTTGTGTCAATAATTCTAATAGTAAGACAAAAATCGTATTCATAAATAACACAACAGGATATATAGAAATATGACTAATGCAGAAATAATAGCATATTCAATGGCACATACAAGATGAACGTAGTGATTTACTTGTACTTTCTGAGTAACTGACGTTGCAGTCTGTAAAGACCTAGACCTTACACCAATGTTGTTTGCAACTGATTTAGATCAACCAAGACTTACAATGGAATGATCCATGTTTCCTGATGTCATATGAAAGGAGTCCAGCAATTGCTAACAGCAACAGGAAACTTCCAAGTTTCCATGGGAATGTTCTTGATACAGTCATCTTCTTCAGAAGTTCCTACAACAAAAAAGTTGACAGTGGAACCACGGTTCCGGAGAATCTGACGTAAATACGTCTCTGTAATGTAATGAAATGTAATGTAATAATTCCAGCACAAAATTATCTAGTCTACGACGCACTTCTTCTACAAGCGATTCACAGCTCAGCTCTTTCCGCAATAATGAAAGCGGATTGTTGACGGCAGTAATGTAACACAACAATTCTGAGTAAACAGATGATGTAACAATTAGGTAACATAACAATACACGCAGGAGTTCATATAAAAGCTGACCACTGTTGTTGACAGCAGTAATGTAACACAACAATGCTGAGTAAACAGATTTAACAATTAGTTTCTTAGGTAACATAACCATTGTTGTCGGTCCATATTTACACATTGTTGATATAGATCTTACACATCTTCGTTACGCTTTTTTGCTGAATGACCCTTCCGTATAGACATATTTACATCAAAAAATGTTACCTTCCAGAATAATTAATACTGCAATTTAAAAACCAGCTCAACTCTGAAGAATTCCACCATGCATGATAGTAATGTTGTCACAGCCAGTAAAATAGAGCATATTATTTTATACCCTAAGCATGATATTAATATTACAGAAAGCAGCAAATGGCCAGCTCTTCAAGAATTAAGGTACTAAGTTTACCATTGCTTTCTCCTTATAAAGAAATGGACCAGCATTCATACAGCAAAGACAAGAGCAGAAACTTCAGAATAACAACCAAAATTTATATTCAAGATGAAATGAAGGGCTGATTAAATTTAAAAAAATTCTTGCCACCATTAAGTTCACAATCTTAAATCTTCCTGTATCCTACCTAGAAATCTAAAATTAAAATATGCAAGACTATAATTTTTACCTGTTACTTAATATGGCTGCAAATACTAGTGTCTCACTCCGAGTGAATAATAAAAATTGAGGGTGTTTGATAAAAAACACCAAGAATATTATGATCTACAAACACGAAGTAACAAGGGACTGTGGGGAGATAGAAGTTAGATGGCTCATAATGTGTATTCTTCACCTAATAGTTTAATGTTACAATTCAAGAAGGAAAAGAAGGGCAAGACATGCAGTATATATATGGGAGATACGAGAAATCCATATGAAATTTTAGTTGGAAAACCACAACTGAAGGGTCTGCTTAGGAGACATAGATTAAACAGGAGAATATTTATTCTATGAAATGATGCTTGCAACTGCACATTTATTTAGAATTAAATGATAGGATTAGGGAACGATAAATTGAAAAGAAGCAGTTATGGCTCAGTTTGAGACACTGTTCTGATATCTGTTGGGAGGGGCTCAAGAAAACTACCAAAAACTCAAGCCAGCAAGCCACCAGATTTAGAATGAAGTCAGAACTTCCTGAATATGAAACAGGCACATCTAGTGGTAAAGATGTCCCACCAACCATACCATGAAGGCTTATGAAGGACTGGAGTTCAAATGGATCAGAGTTTGTTTCTGAATGCAGTAATGATTCTTTCTGCTCCATTAGACCAATGAATTTCTTAAAACAGTTCAGAAAAAGCTTTTCAAGGATGACCATATACCATGGATGTAGTATGAAGTAAAACAAATTGGAACAGTCCTAAATTTTCCGCAGTGAACACTTCTAATTGTAAAATTCTAATAATTATTTTACCTCATCTGCCTTTACTTCAGGCAAGGCTTTCATCTTAGGCTTTATTGCACTAGTTGATACTCCAGAGTTAAAGCAAGCTTCTATCTTCTGTGCTGATGTACTTATTGGTGATGACAATTCTGCCCTCTGAGTCTTAATTCTTTTGTGGACAATTTTGAAATTGATATCTTCTGCTGCCAAGGGATCTCCTGTACAATTATCTGTTCCACTCTTAGATGAAGACTTGATAAACTTTGATAATGAAAGGGGATTATTTGGCTTCATAAACGAACATGCCTCATTTTGTTTCAAACATTCAGTTAAAATACATTTAACCATCTCATTTTCAGTTCTTAACACATTCAGGTCTGCTGAGATTTTCTCCATCTTATTTACAATCTCCTTTAGATGATGTAACATAGAATCACCATTTTCTTTTAAAATATTTAGTTTGTCAACTACCAAACATTCAAAATTATTCTCAATACATTTATTTTGACCAGGTAACAGACTGATTTCAGTTGCTTTAACTTTCTGGCAACTTGCAATAGGTGTTACACAAACATCATTATTTCCTCGTCTGGTACAATTATGACATTTATAAACAGAAACTCCATCAACAATGAAGAATTCACGTTCACTGGTATCAATTTTCGCGCAGCTCAAATGATAATATGCTGCACAAGGTCCTATACATTCAACAGACTGTTTCTCATCACACATGTGATGACAAGCACCACATACACCAGCAGGCATTCTAATAGGACAAAAATATATTAGGTTTTTTTGTACACCAAAGCTTACTAAAACAATAAGAACCTCAATTACAGCCTGAGAATTCAAACAATGAAGTGTTTAGTGTATAAATTATGTACAAGCATGCACCAAAATAAGAATTCCTGACAGTTGCTAACAGATGGACACTACTCTGTATAACTATTGGGATGACACAACAAAAGAATGAAACTTTTTTTTTCAGTGCACCAACATTTCTTCTCTAAAACCAGTACTATGTTTACAAAATATTAAGTTTTATCCTTCTCCCAATATATCAGATCAATTAATGACATCACTAGATTCTAGTTTTGATATATAGAAGTCAAAAATAAAAGTGACTTCAATTCGCTTCAACAGTTAGGATGGCAACACTGAATAATGATGTTATAAACAATGTGAACCTGCAACATTTGAACCTAGCTGTATAGAGATAACACTGCAACACATTTAATCTACCTGCTACATTCATAGGACATGAACAATAATATTTATGGAAGAATGACAATTCAATATGATAATAACTATAGGACCCACAGGAAAGTTTACAAATAGATGAAAAGATTTAAAGGTTGGCAGATGATGTTGACTCTCATATTATGTGCAACAACTGACTGTAATATGTGCTGAGTTTCATAAGCAGAATAATCAACCTGTTTGGGACAACTGAAAAGTCAGTACTTATAAAAATGTGCATCTGAAATGGGCATCAGTCACAAAAAGAAGTGAAAATAGGGTAACACTGCTATGAGATTATTATTAGAATTTACAGTAAAACTGCTTAATTTTTTAATTGCCTTTATAATAGTAAAATTACTGGTTTCAGTGGGTACATTAAAATTTATTTGTTCATGTGCCAGTAGCAAAGTAATAAGTTTAAAATATAATGTTCCTTGTAACTAAATTCCAAGACATTCTAATATAACGAAACTTAAACTGTTGCAAGAAAATACTAAATCTGGAATTGAATTAGTTCAGAAAAACTTTTGCTGTTCACTTCAGAAACTTTTAACTGAACTTTCCAGAAAAGTAAGCACGAAAATAATTAAAACTATAATTTTACTCATAATAACGTTTACTGTTTAAGGTATCTCTCTTACTTCTTGAGTAGTAATAACAATTTATCTCCCCCTATAAAAGGCAGAGATATATAAACTTGGAAATTCTGTCACCGAGACAACTGTTACATACATTACTTCCTGGAAAGCAAAAGAACTTCAATTATCCTGACAACGCAAGACATCAAAAAGTTTAAAAGTCTGCCAGCAGAAACAAAACTATGGTCGTAGAATAAAACAAGCAAAAAATTTAAGACAATTCATAAATGGATTGAACATTTCACCATACACGGCATGAAGCAGTAGAAACTGTCTATTCTCCACTATGTCACACACAATGTAGTAATATTGATGCCACCCAAAACAATTATCACAGAATTCAAAGCATTTTATAAACATGCCCCAAAGCTGTAACAGACAAATATGTATGGCTACATTTGAAGGGCGGAGGGAAGGGGGACATTTAAGGAGGTAAGCATCATTACACCATTTCCTTTTCACATGAAAATAAGGTGAAAATCAATCAAACACTATGCAACAGGGTGGACAATGCCATTGGCATTAGTGTCCTTCAAAGTGTAAACAGTTTTGCTTATATGCATTTTTTTATATTCTTTACTGATGCTTCTTTGTAACTATAATCATGCATAAGCTTAGGGAATATAAGTAAAAGAAAAAGGAAAAGCAGGCTCTAGTGAATACCACTAATAAACTCTGATTCTATAAAAGACAGAGGATTTCTCAACTAGCTAAGTATTCTCATGGTCAAGAAGGAGATGGTCAGGGCATGTGGCGCACATGAATGGGGCAAGATGTGTGCACTAGGTATTGATCAGGAAACCTGAAGGGAAGAGACTGCTGGGGAGACCTAGATGAAAATGGTAGAACAATATCAAGCAGGATCTATGGGAAATATGACATGAAGGTGATTGGATTTTGCTGGCCCAAGGCAGGGACCAGTGGAGGGTTTTGGTTAATTCAGTGGTAAACCTTTAGGTTCCCTAAGCCATCTAGTCAGTTATACTGGAATTAAGCTATTTGATAATCTTCCACCCGCTATAAAATTCGGAATCATGATGTAAAGCTAGCACTAAAAAGTATCTACCTCACTTCTACTCCATAGAAGAATTAATCTTAACCAAAAATTCTCAGCTATTATAAGTGCTTGTTAGCAATAGTAGGTATACTTTCTTGTGTAATTACTTTTGTAGTAATATTGTAGTTGACTTTGAATTATTGTCATAAATATGTAATTTATGTATGAAGTATATAATTTATATTTGTATTCGAAACAAGTATTGTATTTGTGCTATGACATGTTCTGCATACATGGGCTATGAAGGATCTATAGAATGTAAATACAATTCTATTTCACTACATACTACTAACAACAGAACACGTATGTGAAACCTTTCTAACCTCAATCAGAGACAAATGGTTCAACTTATTCTGAAATGGATATCCGAGCGATATGCGAATAAACTCTGCTCTTAATAACGCAAATCATTTCTGTATACGATTATAACACAACACAGT